ATAAGTGTTTCTGCTACTCATTCAGAACAGAGAACCACAGGGTGGTGATGTATGGTGTGGAAGTAGCTGTCTGCTGCCAGAATTCCCCCCATCATTAGCGCTTTCCCCCAGCCCAAGTTTATTTTTATTTTTAAGTTTTGGTCTATGAAGGAATTTTTCAAATATTCAGAAAATGATCCATATACCTACTGCCAAGATTTTACATTTTGCACCTTGACACATTTGTTCTGGATGTTTTTTTCCAGAAATAAATTTACAAAATGCACAAAAATGTGTCTGTACATACCATTTCTCTCTCTGCCCTCCCTCCTCAGAGCAAATAACTCTGCTGACATCAGTGCCCATTCTTTTCAGCATGGCCTCTACTTTTTTACAAAGGCATGGGCCTGTTTATAAAGCCTGTGTGGTTGATATCCTAGTACACCTTACACTTTAGACTCATTATTTTAACTTTGAGGTGTTACCAACATTGATGCATTTTGATCTACTCTGTTTACCTTAACTGCTATTGAGAGGTTGCCAAGCTCCTGAATTTGGAGTGCCAGCTGAGGTCTAGGCTAAAGATTAGCCTCATCACTCTGGACTCACCTAGGGCTTGGATCAGGTGCTTCCAGGTTTCAGGACTGAGTTATAATCAGCCCGCACTCTAGGTTGCTGTTGCTACAGGAATCCACAACATTTGTCCAGTGATATGAATCAGAAAAGCTACTCACCTTGTACCATCTTAGGAGAATGGATCCTTCAACAAGCAATTAGAAAATTCTGGGCCTATGCTCTCTGGACTTCCCTTGTTTTTTGGCTACCATCTTGGGAAAGGAGCAACCACCTAGATCCACTAGAGCCTGGGGACTGCCAGGATATGGTCTTTGCTTCTTCAGAATTTTCATTTCGCCTTTTTCTTTGAAAAGTAAAGATCAGACACGCTGAGCCCCTGTTTACTCTAGCAATCCTTTCAGAATGGTCACAGATCAAAATTCAACACTGAGTATGCCACAGCAACTTTGGCAAAAGAAACCTTAGTGTTTCTATTATTCCTGATTTATCTGTTGGAAATCTCATCTCTTATCCCCTTTTCCCCTTAAAGCTGGGGATGCCTCCAGGTCAGAACCTCACCTTTTCACTATAATTTCTCACTTATCTGAGACCTGGCAGACTGATGAGTAGTGTGAGAGTCACACAAGGACAGGGGTGGAAACACAGGGAATTGCATCAGGTGGGGATTTAAACCATGCCCTTCTCATAGTGAATGTCCACACCATCACAGGGAGCAGGAGGTTTTCAGGGTTCACTGGGGGGTGGCCTTGGAGGGAGAATCAAATGGCAGGAGCACAAATAAGAGCAGACAGTCCTCATGAGACTTTCTGGGCAGACACACCAGATGTTGGGATGAGCATCAAGGGAGGGACAGGAAAGGGTAGTGAAGCTAAGATGATGGGGAACAGGTTGTAAGGATCCTCTACTCAGCCTGAGAAGGAGGGCAGAGAACCAGGGACAGCAGCACAGTGAGGCAAGACCCAGCCTGAGCCTCAACTTCTACTGTGTGCACACCTTGAGGGTACCGGATGGAGCATGAGGGGTGAGGGAGTCACACCATGTGCTATAAGCAGACTCGCCAGAGCCCCTGGACCTCAGCATGTGAGAAAGCTCGTGAGCAAGACTTAGTTCCAGGGATGGGGAAAGATGTCTTCTGCTAACTCCAAGCAGAATTCCATAAAACTAGAAGATGAGGGACATACTTAAAATCTTGGTAATAATTGCAGTAGTTTATCATTTACCTTATGCTTTTAGCAACATGAATTCATGAGGTTTGCAAAAATCCCTAGGATTGAAGCAACATAGTGGACATTTAAACAAAAATAGAAGTGTATGCACAGAGGTGTTAAAGGGGCTTTAATCAGCTCCATAATAAGCCAGGGCTACAATTCAACCTTCAGTTAATAAAACCCAGGGGATCTCTGCTGTGCCACACTGTCCCTCCTCCCGATAGTAAGCAGTACCCAAACACTGACAGCAGTGAGGTCAGAAGAAGGTGGTCCTGACCTACATTTCTCTTTACAAAACAGCCTTTGAGATGACTCTGCAAGAGAGTGAGGAAGAGGGTACATTCAAGGGAGGATGTGCTGAGGGCCATTACCAAGTAGGAATGACGCATCGAAATCCTTGCCAGCATACCCCATGTTAAATGGACTTGCCTTGGAAATTTGCTGCGACCTTGCTTGTGTGTTTGAGAAAGGTGACCCTGCTCAATCACCAGGGTGAATCCAGGATTAGGGTGTATCTTGCAGGAAGTATCCCCGTCCTTGGGTTTAGGGCATGACAATAGGAGTTTTAGGGAAGTTGGAGGTTGAAGATTATTCCTGCTGGGAGTAGGGCATGCCTGCTGCCTGAGTTCTTGTGGAGAGAAAGTATTTAGGACTTGAATTGTGTGGCAGATAGGGATTGCCCCTGTACCTGCGTGGAGGCGGTGTGAGAGAATAAAGAATTGCTGTTTGAACCTACAAAGGTGTGTGGTGGCTCATGATTCTGATGCCAAGCCGAGACCTTGGCAAGGATGCTTCTAGCTTAGGCATTTAGTTGTATTTTCACACACAATACAGCAGAGCCCTAAATAAATTGTGTAAAAATGAGCAATCCAAGTGTGCTTGGAGAGGGAGCTGGGTCTGGAGATATGAGGAACAAGCAGAACCAAAATCACCTCATCTGTGGCGTGGCCTGGACCACCACATCATCGGGGTTGACTGATTCTAAACCCAGCCACACCCCAACTTCACCATCTTTACACCCCTTGGCCCATCATGTTTTCTGATCATCCTTTGTCCCAACTATTGTCATTGACCAGCATCCTAGTAAGCCCTGTCCCTCAATGAATCATGCATTTTCTGAGTGATGTGTCCTTTGAGCATTGTTGGCTAAATTAAGTCCTTGGTTTAGATGGTATCTGTTGCTATCTTTAGATCTTTCTCTAAACAAGAAAATCTTCATTCCTAATGTTAAGGTTGTCCTTCTCTTGACCTTCGAGAAGGGGAGTTGATATCATTTGTGTTGCTATCTTGCAAGGAATTTAAAAGCCCACAAGCATTCTTCAGATTGTAGAATGGATGCAAACAAAAGAAATCCCAGGCCCCTCTGTCCATCTTCTACATATTATGCCCTTCTGCTCCTTGTTCTACTTTGTTTCACAATAAACAGCTAAGCAAGCATCCTGTCATTGGGTTGTGTGCGGTTCCACCTGTCCTTGCCTCCATCCTGTCCCATCACACCTTCAGGGGTGCAGTGCATGAGCTCACAGGAGGGAGCTGCGAAGGCAGGCACAGCTCAGAAGTGGCCTTGAGGAATAGTTCTGGGCTGTGGTGAAACGGGAAACGGAGCACAGGTCTCGCACAGGATCCAGATACCCTGCTCCACTGGTCACTGTGGCTCCAGGGAAAATAAGAGTGCCTGTGTCACATAGTTCAGATGTTCAAATTTAGAAGAGAAGGTGCCAGGGAGGAAAGATGGAAATATGACCAGGCCTTCCCAGGAATCAGAGGGTTCCTTGGACACCCTCACCTCTCTCCTTCCCAAAATGAAGTCCTTGGAAGTATATTCTATGCATATGCGGAGGGGATGGGGCATGAATCCTGAACCCCAGGACAAGAACAGCTTCTTGGGCTTGTAGATCCCAATGCCAAGAAGTCTGCAGGCAACACCCCCCATCCCCGCCCCTTTAACGCACAACCCCCGGGAGTCTCTCTAGGAAATAGTGCCATCTGGAGGAAACTGTGCAGCCTTCCCCTTTTCCAAGCCTCATGCGAAGTATCCAGGGGCATTTCAAAATGACTGAAGGGTCTGGCGTTGAGGTGTTTGGTGCCCTCTTGACCAACCACAGCTTGCTATCACCACTTAAGGATGTGGAAATTCAGGGGTACCTCCATGGATTTTGAGGTCAGGCTATGCATGTCTGGTGCCAGCTTTTGACTTATACCATAATAGATCCCCCCTCTATGCCTTGGCCAAAGCTGTGCCCTTGGCCTGGCATGTTGTCCCTGCGCCTATCTGGGCCCTTTTCACCCATCTACAGTCATAGTAGAGGAGCTCAGTAAATATCTTTTGAATGAAAAAAGAAAAAAAACCAAAACCGACCTCAGTACTGCTGTGGAACAATGGGAAATGGTGTGTCAGTTGTGAAATGCCACACTGATACTAGTGGGTGCCATTTGGAATATAGTGAGCATTTACCCCTCTCCTTTCCCATCTTCCATAACAAGAAACTGGTTCTCTCCCTCTCTCCTCTTTGGAAAATTATTCCTGCTAAGCATGGGCACCTCTGACAGCAAAACCTCCAATTACCAGCCTCTCCAGTAATAAAATGCATGCCAGCCACTTCCTGTTTTCCCCTTTTGTAAGTAGATCACTGCTGCCAGAACCTCTCAAGGCCATACCTCTGATGCCTCCTCAGGCCAACCACACCATGGCCCTCTCCAGTTCTCTCTCTCTGCTCCAGTGAGCAGCCCAGGGCCACTCTGAGCAGGCTGGCTTGCAAGGCTGCTGCTGGGATAGGAGCAGGCAGAAGACATGGTGACACAGAACAAGGATGCCTGTTTGATGGGTCCTGATGGAAGACCCACCTCTGACCCCAGAATTAACCCTCTTCTCAGCCATCACTGAAACTTTATCTTTCTTATCTTCAACTTCCTCATGGGTAAAATGAGAAGCTTGGGTTAGAGGATTTCTAAGGCTTTTCTAGTGCTATGGTATTTGGAAGGATCCAGCCAATCCAGGCAGGCTGATGTGTCTGTTCCATGATCATCTTCTTCAGAGAGGCAGAGGGAAAGTCAGGACTCATTCCCCAGAGCAAAGGTGGAGCACCAACCCTCAAAATCCTACTGTATCCCACTCTGCAGTAACTGCTTCAAGTTGCTTTAATGTCATCCTGGTAGAAAATATTAGACCAGTATTGTCATTTCCATTAAAAAAAGATGGGATCTCTTTGATTTGAAGTGGTTAACCTCATGAGAGGGAGGGAGGATTACTTGTAAATGCCAGTCTTTCTGACTCCAAAGCCCAGGCTGACAGGTGACCAAGGAAGTGCCCCATAAAGAACTGCAGACACCGTGGCCTCACTCGTGTTTTCCGCCCAGTTGGCAGTCATTTCCTTTACTCATGCACTGCCTCATTTAATATCCACAAGCGCACACGTGGGAATGCAGGTGGCCCCCTGCTGACAAGGAGAAGACTGACTTTCCTACAGTCACTTGGCTGGTAAACGAGAGGGCTGGGACTGGAATCCTGATATCCAAATCACCGCAGTTGGAAAAGAAGCAACTCCAAGAACCGGCTGCTGTCTCCAACTCCCCAATTCACAGCCAGTGCCACTGAGGCATGAGGACCATTCCAATAAAGATGGTGAGCAACCTCCTCCCACCGCCAGCCCACAGGTTCTTCCCACTTCCTCCTGCCCACCCCTCATGTTAAACCAGCAAGTCAAAGTCCTCCCTGAGGCCCACGTGGCCCTGTCTAATCGACCCCCAACACTCTCGTCTTGCACTGGGACTCAGTGTCTGAGAGGCCATCTGTGCTCACAGTCAAAAAGCTCTGAACTCCATGCCCTTGACTTTGGCTGGAGCATAGCTCCACCACTATGGCCAGGGCTCCTCCAGTGACTCGGGGGGACAGTTCCCTGGTGGGCTTCAGATTTATGTCCCTGAATGTCTGCTCACTTTTGTTCCTGAGCTGTCTCAACTTCAGCCTCCTCCTGTGTTACTAGGCAGATGCAGTGATAGTATCCACCCTACACAGTTACTCTGAGGATTAAATGAAATATGTCCATATTTTAGTCAGCTTTTTAAAAGAATCCAAACAGAACAACTGTAGAGGAGGAAATGTTTATTTGGGGGTTCTTAGTTTCAGTGGTCTTAATTGATAGAAAATGGACTCCATTCTTTGGGGCTCGCGGTGAGGAAGAACATCATGGCAGAAGAGTTATGGCAGAGTGAAGCAGCTCACATGATAACTCGGAAGCAGAGAGAGAGGTCTCCATTTGCTAGATAACAAATACTTGAAAGCCACACCCCCAGTGTCCACCTGCCCCAGCCACACTCTAGTACTTGCCTTACCACTCAGTTAATCCCTATCAGGGGATTAAATCACTGATTGTGTTAAGACTTTCACAACCCAATCATTTCTCCTCTGAACCTTCTTACATTTTCTCTCATGTGAGCTTTTGGGGGACACCTCACATCCAAACCATGACAGTACCTTATTATTATCATTAGTAATGGATTGTTAATAGATTTAAAATAAATTGTTAATAGATTTAAACTAAAGTGAAAATGAAGTGTCTGATAAGAATACACAACATGTGTTCATTCTACCCATTTCTGTGTTTAGCTACATTAAAATTCTCACATGCAAAGGTGGCATTATTCCTCTATTCCAACACTTATCACAATCCAATGTATATAGAAGACACTATAAATGTCTTATGAAACAGAGGAAATAGAATCAAAGAAAAGGAAGATAAAATTTTTAAATGTGTTTGTCTGCCTGATTAAAATGATCCTTTGACAAATAATAACATTGTCATCACAATCTATTAGTGACACCATATACATCAATAACTATGCCTTCTACAAAGGCACTATGAAAAAGAAAAGAAATCCTCTCTCCCCAACTGGTCTAAGGATCTAGATTCAGAGAATCAGATCTTTGATCCAACTGGCTCCGTGATCCAAGTTTCCAATTTAGCCCTGGGCCTCTTAACGTAAGTGTTTCTTTTACCTGTAGAAAGAAAGGGCCCCCCTTATTCCTGTGGCCCATCTCCACCATTGCATTTCCTATGTTCCTGAGTTAAGGCACCTGAGATTGGAAAAGGGTGGACAGAAAAAAATGGCACTGCAAGCCAGTACTCAGAAGAGAAAGGCCCTCACACCTGCCGCCTTAGTGGAAACACCTGAGGAAAGCCACCAAAATACCCGCTCTTAGGAACCATCACCCCACACCCACCATCACTGCCTGAGTCTTCCTTCCTTCTGAGCTCATTCCCCAGGGGCATAGAGTCAAGGTGACAATAACAAAAGCAGTAACCAGGGTTAGGAAAACAGTTCATGAAGCTCATGCAAAGATGACTTGACTTGGTCCTCTTGCCTCTCTCTGAATGCAATCACTTCATTAGTGCAATAGGAAATAAGATTTCCTCAACCTCACTTAGGGATGAGCAAACAGACTCGGGGAGGAAAAACAATTTCTACAAGGAAGCAAAGAGGCAGGACCTAAACCCAGATATTTTTTCCCTCTAAATTTAAAGTCATATGTCTCTATAAGAGCAATGAAGCATATTAGGTGGGGACAGCTCCCAGATTGGATCTCCAGCAGCCAGGAGAGGTCTTGGAACCCTCCAAGAGCACTACAAACCTATAGGGTAAAAACAATAACACCCCCGACCCACAGAGCTGGGAAGGAAGACACACGAGCAACATGAAAAGACAAGGGAAGAAAGTGCCCCAAACAAATCAAGACAACATATCATTAGAATCACTGGCAGCCACAGCAGGAGAAATGACAGAGAAGGAGTTCAGGATGTACATGGTTAAAATGTTCTGTGAACTCAAGGAAGATATAAGAGAGCAAATACAGGCATGAAAGATCACTTTGACAAGGAGCTACATAAACAAATCCAGGAAGCAAAAGATCACCTCAACAGGGAGAGAGAGGTTCCAAAAAACAAAAAAACAAACAAACAAAAGTCCTTGAAATGAAAGAAACAATAAACCAAATTAAAAGCTCAAACTGAAAGCATCACCAACAGAGTAGACCACTTGGAAGATAGGACATCAGACAATGAAGACAAAATCTATAATCTTGAAAAGTACATAGACCACACAGTGATAATGATAAGAAACCAGGATCACAGCATTCAAAAAATATGGATAGCATAAAAAGACCAAATTTAAGAGTTACTGGGATAGAGGAAGGCATAGAGGTCCAAGATCTAGCTTTCGCCTTTTAGTCTTCATTGTGGCTTCAAATCCCAATGCAGTGAGTTGTGTTCTCAGAGCAAATGAGTGTCAATCAATAAGTTGTCAAAACTGGGCTCCATTTCTGTCTTTACCTCCTTCATCTATTTTGTTTTAATATCATTTATTATTTGATTGTTAGGCAATAACATCTTATTTATAGTCCCTATTTTCTTTGGTTTCTCTTATTTGCATTTCCTTTGATTTACAGGCTTTTTACAAGTTGTCATGAGGAATAAAACAAAAACTGACTTTTGAAAGACCTCCCGGAGAGCAAGAGGGAAAAACAGACAGCAAACCAACCTCTCTATTTCAAAATCTTCTCAAGACTTTTGTGGTGAATAATCCATTTCCAGAATCAAATACATTATGATTTGAGATGATGTAAGAATGGAAAGAAGTTATTTGGGGGTTTGTCTAACCTAGGGTTCAAGTTAACAGTGGTTTGGAAATCAGTTCTGAAAAGTGGGAAGTTTAGACTCTCCCCCCTTGAGGTTTACTCTTTTCTTTTTAATCAAGATAAGGCATATATTACAATTTAAAAGAGTTTGTATTCTATAGCAGGGGTCAGCAAACTTATTTCTGTAAAAGACCAGATAGTACATATTTTAGGCTTCTGGGCCATGTGATCTCTGTGAGAATGACCCAAGTCTGCATCATTAACACAAAATCAGCTGCACTGGTACAAATGATTGTTACTGTTCCAATAAAACTTTATTTACAAAAGCAGGCAACCAACTAGTGGGCCATAGTTTGCTGACTCCTGATCTACAGAATGACAATAAATGAAAATCAAAAAGACTTGCATCTTATACCAGCGTGGTGGGCCACGCCTGTAATCTCAGCAGCTCAGGAGGCTGAGGCAGGTGAGTTACAAGCTCAAAGCCAGCCTCAACAACTTAGTGAGGCCCTAAGCAACTCAGTGAGACCCTGTCTCTAAATAAAATACAAAAAAAGGATGTGGCTCAGTGGTTAAATATCCCTGGGCGCAGTCCCAGGTACAAAAAAAAAAAAAGAAAAAAAAATGGAGGGTGCTGGCATCCTGAGAGGCTGTCCCGTTGTCCAGATTTACCATCTTTAATGGTTGTATTCCACATTGTTTGGGTGGTTACAGCCAACATTCTAGATTATATGCTTGCAGTTCTATTTCTTGATTTATTCCTTTTACATGGTATCTACTGAGTCTTCCTTATGAAACATGAGATAATTGCCAGACTCTCATTTTCACCTCCCTCCACGACTCCCCAAGATTGGTCTCTTTAGACGCCCATATTTATAGTGTTTCCATGTCCCTGTGTACTTCTATTGGGTTTTTTTTTTCCATTGACAGGTGATGTGACATGGGGATCTTGTTATTTCTTCATCCCCCTCCATCCTCCCCTGACTACTGCTAGCGCCATTGTTATTTTCACAATACCATGTTATAATGTTTGCCCTGTTTTGTAAATTAATTAGGTCTTTGGCATTCTGCCAGAAGTTGGTTCTAAAATTGCAAACCAAGAAACAGCATTCACAATATTTTAATTATGTAAATATTAGTCATGGCAGAACTAAGTAGTATGATTGGAGAAATAAGTATAATCCACTGGCAGTAAATCTCTCTCCACAGAGAATGTTCCAAGTATTTCGAGCCATGCAAATGCTCCAGCACATACTCAAGATCATGTCCTATTTTAGCTTTCTGTCTTATCCTATCAATAACCTTCAAGAACTCTCTTTCTGTGCTCCACTTTTTAGGTCACCCTGCTGTTCCACAGAAGCAAAGCCCTGAACAACCCTCGGAGACTTCCACTTCTCAGGTTCTCCTGTCCCTGGGAACCATCGGAGCTTGTCTTGGTTCTCCTCCTAGATGCCGTTGGCTTTCCTCAAGTTTGTCTTGGTTGTCTGTCTTCATGGAACAAAATCAGACTGACTGATCTGAGGAGTGTGCCGTGGGTTCCTCTGCATGTGTGTAGCCTTTTAATCCAAAACTCCTTTTTTAGAATAGGAAGACCAAGTCCATGGAGTGGTAGGCTCAATTTTAGGGTGGATAGACCACACACAGCTACTCTCTCCCATACCCATAAAGCCCCAATAGAGCTGTTACTCTGGAACGGCACACCAATACCCACAGGGGGACCTGGCCCTAACCCACCCACCATGCCATGTCTTTAGAGGGCAGCACACCTACTTTGGTACTGTTCAGCATTGGAACTGAGGTAGCTGCCTCGAGTAGCTGCAGGTCCTCAAAGACCTTCATTGAACTAGTCTAATTTCAGTCCCTGTTCTTGTAGAACCCAGGACCAATACTCTGTCTCCAGGTGGGTTTTCTCTCTTGTATGTTTTAAGATGTAGCTTGCTATGCTATAGGAAGTTCAGCAATGTCATCCCATCCACTTTCCACCTTCCAGAATTACATCAAAATCTGGCCTCAGTTGCTGGTTCCCTCTGCTGGCCTCAGCTCTCCTGTGGAATTATTCCATCTTAGACTCCATTCTGCAGCCTTCTTATTAGAATCCTGGGGAGGAGGCCATCTATCTGAGCCTGCTTTTGTTTTTCTAAACCATCAGCGGGCAACCTAGCACACCTAAAGCTGTGGGGTACCTTCTCCTACCGATTGAGATACATGAGATAGTTTTACCTTTGGCAAAAACGTAAACCAAGTAACTCATACAAATACACACTATGAATAATCTTAGACAATTTTGCAGAAAACAATGACGTGTATTTTTCCATGGGTTGAAAACAAAGAATTGTACATTTTCTTTAAAAAGAGATTTGGGGCTAGGAATACAGCTCATTAGTAGATCAAATGCTTAGCATGCTCAAGACCTTGGTTTGATCCCCAATATGAAAATAAAATTTAAAAGCAATTTTCTAGCTTGAAAAGGTCTCCCAGACAGGATTTTAATGGCTATCTCCTTCTTCCCTGAAGAGTCAATTACTGGACACATTTTTTCATATCTCGAGGTTTTTGAAAAATATGATTAATCCATCAGGCAGCATTGTTTTCTTCCTTATTTCTGTGTATTGATATTATTGATCCTTTCAACAGTCTGGGAAGCTTAGAGCAATGCTAACAGCCCAAGCTGTACCAAGCTAGGAGTGAGCTGACTCACTCCTGGAGCTTTGAGTTCAACACACACTGGTTCAAGTGATCCCAGGCCTGTTCCCAGAAGAGTCTCTGGGGACTCTCTTTAAGCATCAATCATTTGATGATGGAGTAGTGTTTTCTGAGTCAGACCTGTCAGCCTGAAGGATTGTCCCTTGGGAGAACAGTCCTCAGCATCTCCCTGCAAGTGATAAGTCCCCTTCAAAATGCTTGAAGGGGAAGGAGAAGGAGAAGGAGAAGCTGAGTTCGAGGGGCTGGGCATGAAGCACAGAAATAAAAGATGTGAGTCACTGGTTCCAGGAACTGAATATTCTCAATGAAGAATTGTCCAGAGCAGCAGGCACCCATGAAAGCATTTTTTAATTAATTGGATCTCTTTATAAATCCAAAGGATAAATTAAATAAATGAATTGTCCAAGGCCAGTTGATGCATAGTTCATATTTCCTTCAGAAAGAAAGATTTGACTACGGATTTATTGTTGCATTTCTGAAGCCCTGAGATTTTGTGCTGAGGTCTTCTGGGACCCCTGATCATGGCTCTCCTTAGAGGTATACAGATTTTGTTTTCCACAACATTCACTTATGTCCTCTGCAAAATGCACAAACATGTTGCCAAAAATACTACTTAAAATAGGAAAGGGGAAAAAAGGGTATTTTATTCTTTATTTCCTGTAAGTCTCCACTTAAATGTCATCTGCAAATTATAATTGCTCAGCTTGCACTTTTATGGCAAGGTTGGATCTGGACATTGAAAACTGTTCCTGGTACTGACGCAGGAACATGCAGGCTGGGATCTTTGTTTTTAGAAGAACCAAAAATATGGATGTTCACTAGCTCATTTGTAATAGGTCAAAATTTATTTCAGCTACATTTTGAGAGAAAGAACCACCATGACTACCTGTGATGGTTAATTTTATGTGTCACCTTGCCTGGGCCAGGGGATGCCCATATAGCTGGTTCCACATTATCTCTGGATGCATCTGTGAGAGTTTCTCAGAAGAGATTAGCATTTAGACAGGTAAACTGAGTAAAGATCACTCTCACCAAAGTAGGTGGGCATCATCCAATCTATTGAGGACCTGAATAGAACAAGATTATGGAGAAGGGAGACTTCTCCCCTCTATGCCTGACCACTTCAGCAGGGACACAGATCTTCTCCCATCCTGGGTGCTCCTGGTTCTCAGGCCTTCAAAATCTGACTAGAATCTACACCATTCTCTGCTCCAGATCTCAGGCTCCTGGATTAAACCATGGGCTCTCATGAGTCTCCAGCTTGCAGATGGCAAATCATGAGACTCCTTAGACTCCATAATCATGTAAACCAATATCTTAAAATAAAAATAACTCTTCTCTCTCTCTCTCTTTCTACACACACACACACACACACACACACACACACACACACACATACACACACACACCTGGCTCATGATGGTTCCACATTGACTTTTTGGCCTATGATGGTGTAAATGCAATACTTACACAGTAGAAACTCTACTTCAAATTTTGAATTTTGATATTTTCCCAGGCTAGTGACATGTGGTACATATAGTGCTCTCTAGTGATGCTGAGCAGCTCCTGGAAAGAAGTTTATAACTGTCACGGTAGTATCCTCCTCATCTGGGATTAAATTGAATTCCAGTGTGCTGTCAGTGGTGCACCTAGTAGTGAGTGCCACACAGCCACCCTGCTTTCCATATGAGATAATACCTTATAAAATAGGCTTTGTGCTGGACGAGCTGCCCTATTCTAGCCTAATGTGTGTTCTGAGCACAGCTCAGATAGGCAGGGCTCAGCTGAGCTGTTTGGTGGGTAAGGTTCTTTTTTTTAAAAAAAGAGTGAGAGAGAGAGAGAGAGAGAATTTTAATATTTTATTTTTTAGTTTTCGGTGGACACAACATCTTTGTATGTGGTGCTGAAGATTGAACCCAGGCCGCCTGACCGCTTGAGCCACATCCCCAGCCCTGGGTAAGGTTCTTAAATGCATTTCTTATTTGACATTTTCAGCTTACAATGGTTTTATCAGGACATAATCCTATTGTAAGTAGAAGTGTATATGTGTGTGTTTGTGTATGAGTGTGTGAGTGTGCACGTGTATGTATGTCATAGGATTTGGCTGTAAGATGCTCCCCAAAAGCTCATGTATGAGACAATGCAAGAAAGTTTAGAGGTTAAATGATTGCGTTATGAGAGCCTTTACTAATCAGTGCATTAATCCACTTGACTGGATTAATTGGGTGTTGAACATAGATTGGTAGGGTGCCGCTAGCAGAGCTGGGTCACAGAGGCATGCCTTTGGGGTTTATATTTGTCCTTGGTGAGAGGAGAAGGCTCTCTCTTCTTCTTGGTGCCATATCCTGAGCTGCTTTCTTCCACCACACCCTTCCACCATGATGTTCTTGCTCATCTCAGGCCCAAGCAATGGAGCTAGCCATCTATGAACTGAGACCTCTGAAATCAAGAGCCCCGCAAATAAACTTGTCCTATTCTAATTTTCTTGTCAGGTCTTTTTGGTCACAGCAGCTAGAAAGATGACTAAAAGAGCATGCAAGTGTGTGTATATACATTGGTTTTGTTTCTCTGAGGGACCCTGACTAATACACTAATACACCACCTCATAGTGATTTTATTTTTAATGGTACCAGGGATTGAACCAAGGGCTCTTAACCACTGAGTGACATCCCAGCCCTTTTTTATTTTTTATTTTGAGATAAGGTCTCACTCAGTTACTTGGGGCCAGCTTTGAACTTGTGATCCTCCTGCCTCAGCCTCCCAAGCCGCTGGTATTATAGGTGTGCACCACTGTGCCTGGCCCAACAGTGATTTCCGATGTCATATTACAAGAACAATAACTAATTTGTCTGTTCTCACATATTTTATTCTGGAGGGACACTGTGTTTTTCAATGTATAATGTCCCCTGAACTTCAGAAACAGGAGGGCAAATCAAAATCAGCAAGAAAATGTGCTCACCGAGAGGTAAAGTCACTTGCAGTTCAGACCCCACAGTGGGGCCATAGGAGCCAGAGGGCGTTCCGGGGAGAATGTCACAGTGAGGTGACTTCTACTTTAAAACCAGAATCAGGAAAAAGCCCGAGTGTTTAATTTGATTTGGGAATCGCTTCTGTGGTTCTCAGCCTGTTTAAGGTGGGCCTCTAGCTCAGGAGGAGAGCTATGGGGAGAGAATCAGGATGCCCCTCTCTGCCCTCTGCCAACACACACACACACACACACACACACAAATGTGGTTAACTGTTGTGCTCCAGGATTGTTATTTCAAGGCCTCTGAAGTCACCTCTGTCTATAAAACATGGGAGCCCAGATGGTTATAAACCTTCTCATGACAAGCTTTTAGATTTGTCAAAAATCAAACCACAGCCCTGTGCAGTGCTGGAGGAGCCTGCCCCCTACCCCGCCCCCCAGAGCCTCTAATTGCTTCCTCCATGGCCCGCAGGACAGTGCCCAGTGCCAGGCTGGGTGAGACAGAAGGGCAGACCAGGTATCTGGAGCTCCTCAGTCTCCCAGAGCCATTCTCATTCCCAGGGTGCTCTGCAGTCACCTTGATGTAGAGCAAATTATCCAGCTTAAAAAAGAACAAGTACAGATATCTTTCTGTTTGATCTGAATAGCTGATACCTGGTTCCAGGAGCCTGACATGTTCTTCTGTGCTTGGCACCTCGCACAGCCCCAGATTGCAAATCTGGAATGAATGTTCTTTCCTGTCACCAATGTTGTAACTCCCCGGAAGGATCCTGGACTTTCTCCAGGAGGCCTGAAGCCAGCAGCTGAATCCCAAAGTCCCTACCTCCCCTTCTCACCAGAGCCGTTCACAAGACTTCCCTGCAGGGGCCGGTAGGCACCTTGCTGTATGTAGCCAAGCTGTAAATGAGTGAACAATATAAAAATAATAATAAATTGAACTCAGTGGGAGAGAGGTGGGTGGTGTTGGGCCTGTGTTTACCTAAGGTGGGTCTGGGGAAAACTTCATGGACTGGTCAGGCTTTTGAGATTTGTTTTAAACGTGGCTGGAAAAGGTGAGAACAAACTGAAGGAAGAACTGGGCACAAGTCCCTGGCACCCTCTGAAAGTCCTCATGACTCTCTGGGTACACTGCGTACAGCATCCTGGTAGGACTGGCCAGGACTCAGCGCTTCTAACACCAACAACTGTTGAATTTGTGGGCTCTTTGGCTCAGAAAGCTCATCTTGCAGCATCTTCTGACACATAATTACTGAACATCCACCAAGAGCCAGCTGCTGGGTGCACTGGGGACACACAGAAGTGAGTGACGAGGACGTCCCTATTCTCGGTGGACTCTCAGTCTGTAGGGCAGAGGATCTGGATTAGTCTTGTGAAAGACAGTGTGGGCCCCCCTCTGCAGTGTCTTAACACAGCAAATTCTGTGAAGACAGCAGAGGACCCTGCCCAGGGCAGACTGCTGTGGTCTGAATACTTACATCCTCCCAAAATTCATAGGTTGAAATCCACCTCCCAGGTGACTGTATTAAGAAATGAATTCTTCCGAGGTGATGGGGCCATGAGACTAAAGTCCTCACAAATGGCATCAGTGCCCTTAGACAAGGGACTCCAGAGAGCACTTTCACCCCTTCCACATGTAAGGGTCCAGTTAGAGGGTTCAGAAAGTGAACCCTCACCAGACACCGAATCTGGTAGTACCTCGATCTTGAACTACACAACAGCTGAGAAACTAAATTTTTGTTGTTGATAAGCCACATAGTTTATGGTATTCTGTTACAGCAGTCTGGAAGGATCCAAGACTCAGGGAGACTGAGAAATTGACACCAACCTTGAATTTCAAATCACAGTGAGAGTGAGCTGGGGGGAGGTCCATTAATGGGAGAGAATTTCAGGAGTTCAAACTTTATCCTGACATCTATTGAAAATCACAAAAAAAAAATTTTAATCTCTAGGACATTACAATCATCCATATGCTAACAACTCCCAACTTCACATCTCCATCCCAGTCCTCAGATCTGATATCGTCTGCCTCCTGATATCTCTAGGTGTCTATCCAGTAGGAACCTGACAATCTAGACAACTGTCCCACCCCACCCCATGCATCTGCTCCCCCTGTGATAGTGAACCCACAGTTTGGAGATGAGACTGGATTTCCCGCTGGCAGGTGAGAGGAGTTTCTCCTGCACTGATGGCAGGTGGGGTCTGCCTAAGGTAGCAGGCAGGGGGTGGGGGGAATGGGGGGGTACTGCAGCTCTTAATGGCGGCCCCACCCTCAGTTTTACAGCAGACCCCAGCAGCTTATCTTTGATTTCTTCTTTCCAGGTTCTTGTCTTGTGAATTGGAAGAATGAAATCCACAGACCAGGATGAGTGAGTGTAAGGGTAGGATTTTACTGAAGAACAGGAACAGGACTTTTGCCATGCGAGAGAGCACCCCTTAGCACGGGTCCACCCAAGTGCTAGTCTAGGGGTTTAATAGCACTCAGTTCACTGCTATTGGTTCAAACTTAATTAGAGTTTGAAAAAAGCACCAGTGCTCTTGGCCCAAATTTATGCTAATTAGGGCTTGAAATGTACTAATGCTATTGGTTAATTCTTGAGTCCCAATTTCATTCAAGTCTGCCAGATTCCATTTTCCTTGGTGGGGTCGGATGGGGCTGCAGCATTGCATGGAGCAGTCTTTGGCTGCAGGCATCCATACCACGTCAGGCCTGGCTTCGGGAGGATGACAGGTGAGCGAGCACTCCAGGCACTGGCTCTCTGTGCTAACCTGGTGGGCTCCATGCAGCCTTGGGCAGCTTCTCTACCTCTCCACTGCCATTCCTGAAGGTGTGGAGGGGAAGGGGAATAGAAAGCCTCAGGATGTGGGCTGGTTGCCAGCAGCAGGAACCACGAAAATACAGGGTTAGCATTTTCAGGCCCACCTGGGGGTGGAGGGCCAAGGACTTCATCTATCCTGCCCAAGTAATGGAACCTCCATGAAATGCCATTGGGAGAGTATCCTCCAATGCCAGGGTTTGAAGAGTTTCCAGGTGGGAGAACACACTGAGGTGCTGGTAGGGTGGCCTATCTTGGGAGGGCAGGCCAGCTTCAGAACCCCCACCCCAAAACCCTTGCTACCCCACGGGATAGGTTCCAGGACCCCTCTTCTGCCCGTGGATTCCAAAATCCACAGATGCTCAAGTCTATGCATATAACCCTGGCCCGACCTCGTGGACGCTTTAACCGCCTCTAGGTTACTTAAAACACTTAGTACAAGGTGAATGCTGTGTCGATAGTTGTAATATATTGTTAGAGAAAATAATGACAAGAAAAATGTCTGGACACGTTCAGTACAGACACAGCCCCTGCGGTCCTAACCACGTGGTACACGAAGGAGACACCTAGGTGGACAAGCTCCCACAAGTGCCAGAGAGGGCTGGAGGGTTTGAGGTGATGGGAGGCCACAGTTATAGGGTCCACACTTCACGTCCATCATGGGGATTCAGTGTGTGGCAATCTCAAGCTTTGCCCTTTGGAACTTCCTGAAAAATTTCTAAATGAATATTTTTGTGCTATTGTTGGTTGAATCTGTGGAACCTACAGATATAGGGGGCTACATGGAGCCTGCAGAGGGGGGTGTGGGAATCACCAATTGGTCGCTGATGGGCTAGGAATGTGGAGGCCCTGTGATTTGTGACTAGACTCTGAAATAGTGGTAGTTTTGTGGGACTGAGCCCTTAACCTGGGTGATCTGATGCTAAATCCAGGTAAATAGCCTCAAAATTGGGTTGAACTCTAGGCCACCAAGATACTCAGTACATTCAAAGTCAAAAGTTCAAACAGAAACTGTTGAAAGTCCCTATTTCACTGGTACATCTCCCCAGGTGCAGGCACCAGATACCATGAATCACCCCTCACCCTGATAAACCCAGCCTAATTCCCTCTTAAGATTGGGAGCCATCTTGTCACAAAGGCATGAAAAGTTACTTTCGTCTTTACTATAAATTACTGTGATTTCTAAACTTGCTTGGAATGCCTGCCCATGCCTTGAACTCACCCATGCCTGGTTTTCCCTGAGCAGATAATAACCCTCTCTGAAACCTTAGTGGCCCCTCATAAATTCTGATGTTGGGATCTAAATTCACTTTCTAAGTGCTGAACCATTTAGACCATTAACCTACTACCCGCCTTTGTATTTTGTTTATTGAAGTCCTGTTATCTGTAAGTTCTCAAGACACTCCCCTTTTGCAAATTTTTTGTGCTATAAAACTGCTCTCCTAGAGAGCCGGGATACTGTCTTCTAACCCATGGATTTTGGGAGAGGGACAGTCCCGGCTGGTCAGAATAACAAGCTTACTTTAATTTGATTAAATTCGAGTCTGTGGTCTTGTCTTTGTTTTGTGGTTTCACAACCCTCCACATCCAGCAATGCCGGAGGCTGTAGAGTCCACAAGCACAATGGAGGGTAAACACACTCACTCTCTGTCCACCTCCCCTCTCACCGACCTGGTTCAAGCCTGGTGCAGCTGGATCACTTTGGTAGCCTTCTTGAAGCTGTGTCTGCAGTGTTTAAAACATGCATTTTTGAAAACATGGGTTTCTGGGAACCCGACAGTGACAACAGAAATGTGGGACTTTTCCAGGGACCAACTCCTTCACTCATATGTGGGTGTCATGATGTATAGTGTGCCCCTGCTCCAGGCAGAAACCCAGGAGAGTCTGGGCTGCGAGAACCAAGGCTCATCCTACCAAGGAGATGAGAGTGGGCCTGGAGAGTGCTGGCATGGCCAGAGGGTGTGGAGGGAGAGGAGGCCAAGCTGGAACTCTGATGAGTGGATGGAGGGTAGGGATTGAGGGAGGACCGTGAACCAGGGGCAGGGAGGGGAAGTCTGTCTCTGCAGGGCTGTGGGAGTCAGAGGAGCCTCTGGTCACCAGGAGGACAAAGCCAAGGTCAGCAACAAGGAGATAATAGATTTCCTGGGTGGAAGCCAGACTGGCATGTGGAGATGGCATGGGAAGTGAAGAAGGAGGGCAGGGAGGGTTGTCACCAGCTATTGGGTACAAGCACAGGAATTTTTTGAGCCAAGGTACCCATCGCCACCAGCTAAAAATTAAAGGATGGAAACTTACAAATAATATTTAAAAACAAAGTAATAGATACTGAAAACTCATCCTCCTACTTGGCTACATTTTGCTAGTAGCTTCAGTCAGGGTTATCGTGGTCCATTGCGTCTACGTGGTGGGAATGAGCCATAATGAGGCTCATCTGCGGGTCTCTTCCAATCCTCATCTAGTGCTGGCTCAAGAGTAACTTGAACCTGGCTGTATTTACACTGTGGAAATGAGCAAATTGCACAATTCAGAACTTTTTATTTAAAAAAGTTATTACTAGGGAGCCAGTTGTTAAGCATTTACCAGCCTACCCCTGAAGGAGCGAGATGGCACACTTCCATAGAGAGAGTGTAACGTTGTTCTCCCAGCAGAAGGAAAAAAAGGAAGTATTTTTCTGATGACTTCTATTTCTCTCTTACGTTGAGGCTAAAGTGTGTAAGAGCCAGTGAAGAAGGCAGCACTGGGGGCTAGATCTGAAGATGCAAGAGAGGATCCGACATGGTCCTGGCCCTCATCTTCCTGCTTTCCCATGAGGGAGACCCACGCTACAGGGCCCTGTGGTAGGAAGAAGCTGTTGTGTTCTAATCTACATCAGTGCTTCCCAAACTTCCGTCTGCTTATCTATCACCTGGGGATGGTGTTGGACTCCTGGTTCTGAGTCGGTGGGTCTGGGGTAAGACTTGGGGTTTCTAACCAAGTTGCAGGTAATGCTGAGACTGCGATCCAGGATGTCAGAGCGGTGCAGTCCTTAGGGGCCATGAGAGGCTGGGCTGGCCTGCATGTCATGCGAGAGGGGACAACGGGTGAGGATGGTGCTGGAGAAGTAGTTGGAGCATGCTCAGTCAGGGCCTTAGGGTACAAAAAGAAGCTTGGATATTATTCTAATGCCATGGGGGGGGTCGGTTGAAGGATTTTATGCAGACTGGGGGTGGGAGTGGCTTTTATGATCTGCTTTTCCTTTCAAATCACTCTGGCTGCTGCTTGGGTAGGCAAAGTGACAATGGGGGGGAGACATTCTGGGAAGCTGTCATGCCAACCTCAGCCAGAGATGACCATGACCGGACAGCATGGTGACCCAGGAGATGGAGAGAAGTGGGCAGATTCCAGATGTGCTTTGAAAACAGATCTGGAAGACTCACTAGTGGGCTGGGCATGGGGAGGGAGGCTCAGGAGGAGTGAGGGGGGGGGCATTGGGGCTTGGTCCTGAATAAGGGAAGGTTTCATGTGGCCCTGTACTGAGCTGGAAGAGGAGGTGAGGGGCTGAACAGGGGCAGGTGGAGATGCCCGAGAGAGTTCCATGGGAGTCTGGATTCAGAGGAGGGTCTTGGCTCCAAACGGGGAGCTGTCCACAGGCACATCTTTGGGGAGGGTGGAGATAGGGAAGAGTAGAGGCCCTAGGAGGGGTCCTGAGGGACGCTTTAGTTAGGGACTCTGTTTAAAGAACAAGAGCTGGGAGCCGGAGGCTGTAGTCCTGTGTCCCTCCCTGTGACTTAAGACAGGGGCATCGCCACAGGGCTGACCACTCAAACAGTTAACATCTTGCTTCTTCTTCTTTTTTTTCTTTTTTTATTTCTGGCAACATGGAATCACTTTAAAAGGGAAGAGAGGGGGTCAGCTGAGGTCGTGGCTCAGTGGTGTTCACAGTGCCCCTGTGAACCTATTGCTCCAATAATTTATTCATCGTGTCCCACATGATGATATTCCCATTATATGTTTTATTACTATTTTTATTTTTATGATCACATTAGATTTTTTTTTTTTACACATGGGAGCCTTGGGGGACATGTTTGTTGAGTAGTTTATAACTGAAAATGAATATTTTATACAGGAACATTTTGAACAGACACAGAATAACTCTTAAACTTGTTTTTTCTTAGGCTAAAATTTTATTATCTCTGTTCCTTGGGCTTCTGAGCACTGTGCAAACGAGGCCTAAGCAATGAGCACCATCAATTATTAATAACCATCCATGAGCACAGAGCTGCTTCTACCCTGAGTGTGTTTCATAAGTGGGGATCAGGACAAGGGCTTCTGCTCCTTCCTGGATCTACGGTGCAAAACAGAGCCTGGTGGGACACCAGGGCATCCTGGAACCACAGCTACGGCCCCTGGCCTGCAGCTACCCAAGAAGGGGCACCCTAGGCTTAGGACACCCTCTTAGATTATAGGATCAGCCCATCATCCAAGAAGTTGCTGGCAGGGGCCTGTGATGCTCATTTTCTTCATGAGCTGGGGAAGGAGGCTATGCTTGGAGTTTGTCCCTCTTGCCATCTCTTAGGCTGCATTGTGTCCCCCTGCCACTCATATGTGGAAACCCCAAGGCCCAGTAGCTCACAATGGGGCCATGTTTGCAAACTGAGCCTTTGAAAAGGTGATTGAGTTAAAATGAGGTGGACGTTAATCCAAGATGACTGGTGTCCTTAAAAGAAAAAATGCAGACTTATTATCTTCCCCACCTCAACCCCCCTTGTTGTGAGTCAGCATCCACTTATCAGAGAGTACATTTGACCTTTGGTTTCTTGGGACTGGCTTACTTCACTTAGCATGATAGTCTCCAGCTCCATCCATTTACCGGTAAATGCCGTAATTCCATTCTTTACAGCTGACTAATATCCCATTGTGCGTATATAGCACATTTTCTTTACTTATTCATCTTTTGTAATGAAGGGAAGGGAGGGAGATGAGAATAGAAAGGACAGTAGAATAAATCAGACCTCACTTTCCTATCTCTGCATTTGAATACACGACCAGGGTAACTCTGCATCACATACAATCACAAGAATAGGAACCTAATTAGAAGAAGTCATACTTCACGTATGTATAATATGCCAAAACACATTCTACCGTCGTGTATATCTAAAAAGGAGAAGGTAAAAAAACAAGAAATGCAGACAGACACGTGCAGAGGAAAGGCTAGGTGAGACAAGAGGCCAGGACAGAGGACTGGGGACAGGCCAGCCTACGACACCTCAGCATTCCCACTTCCAGATCGCATTTCTGTTGAAGCTGCCCTATCTCAACCCTTTCACGGTCTGTCCCTCCACCTGGCCTCCTTCCAAGGAGCCTTACCAGGCTGGCCCTTGGGCAGACCTCATGCTTTTTAAACTACGGTCTGAGAAGCCCTGTGGCAGAGAGGGCTAGCGGGAGCCACTAGACAGCTTCACGATCCTCTGATCACAAGATGAGATGCCCAGTGGAAGGAACTTGGCCATCTTAAGTAGGAGGAACAGGACACGTTGTCCTGACCCTCTGACCCGAGGCACCCTGCCCTGTCCCCGGGGTGTGTCTCCAAGGCCATTCCTTAGCCTCTCAGGGCACACCCAGACTGTCTCTTGAGCCTGGATGACCCCAGACTAATTAAAGAAAGAAACTGTCCTCTTTTTCTTGCAGTAACAGGAACTGGGAACATCATGGGGGGGGGATGAGAGAGGGGCTAAGCAGAGAGACCTCTGGCCCATGCCGCACATGACCAAGTGTTCTGATTTGTTTAAGAAAATATTGCACCTATGTGGATGGAAAGGGCCCAGGGGGCAGCCGGAGGGGGAGCTGTGGCAGTTACCACCTGTGGGAAAACCCGTTTCAGGAAGGGGTCTGCCTCTTAGAGTTTCCTCCCTCCTGAGCCCTGGGCCAGGGAAAGGCCTCTGAAACACACTCTGTTGAGCCCACCCCTTCACCAAAGGCAAAGCGAGGAAACCCAGTCATCAGAGGCTCCTGACAGCCTTGTCAAATTGGCCTGTCCCGGGAGGCAGGGAGGGAGAAGAGGTCCAGATGGTTTTAAGAGCGAGAGGAAGACTCTATTGCAGGAAACCCATTGCTCAGCTGCTTTGCCCTGCGGGCACTGCAGCAGCTGGCTGAGGTCCTCCTCATCCCAAGTTGTCGTCAAGGAAGGGTCTGCCCCCATCCTGTCCGTGGAGACCACCAGCTCTGAATTCACCATGCTCAGAGGACTTTTATTTATTTTTGGTACTGGGGATTGAACCAGGGGCACTTAACCCTGGGTTCACATCCTCAGGCCCTTTTTATGTTATCATTTTGAGACAGGGTCTCGCTGAGTTGCTTAGGGCCTCACTAAGTTGCTGAGGCTGGCTTTGAACTCATCATCCTCCTGCCTCAGCCTCCGGAGCCACTGGGATTACAGGTGTGCACCACGGCCTCCAGCACACAGGGGACTCTTGATCACCTATTCAGAAGGGCCTTGGAGACCAGGGGACAGGTGGAGCCAAGCCGAGAGAGTACTGGGCTTCCTCACATCCCAAGGACCAGCCTGGTCTCTGGCCAGGCTCCTCAGGGTTCACCTGTCTTTGCTCAGTCCCCCACGGCCTTCATCCTCTTCTTCTCTTCTCTGCTATAGAAACTGGGGGAAGAGAAGCCAGAGAAACATTGGAAATTCAAGCACCTGCAATCTTCCCATGGCTAACAGCTGCTAATCGCAATTCTGACAAACATAAACCAGAAATAAACATAAGCAAAAAAAAAAAATTAAAGCAATATTCTAAGTATGAATTCTCAGGTAGGAAGGTTAGAAGAGCCAGAGACACTTCCTCAGTACCCCTCAAGTCACCCCCCAAAAGCCAACTTCCTCCTTGAAGCTGAGACTGCCCTCTTAATTTATCCAGCACCCCATAGATTACACCTTATACAATGTGTTTTTATGTTAGGTGTGGGGCCCACTAGGACCCTCTGTAGTGTTCTTAGTGAATAGCATAGACATGAAGGGACATAAGCCCTGGGGGCTCAGATATGTTGTCATCCTGATTAGTTATACGAGCTTTGGTTTTTCTCATCCACATCATGGAGTTATCAATACCTACTTTATATGATTATTATAAGTATTAGGTGAAATACTGAATGTCAAGCATATCGCACATAGTAGGTGCTCAACTAATGTTTGTTCCTTTCCCCTTCTACTATTTCAGGGAAACTGGTAATTGGGGAACACTTCAATTGCCAGGTATCTATGACACTACACCTGTGCCTTTGACATCTGAACATAGTAGCCAAAATGAGTATTTATGAAAGCATAAGTATCGTGTGAAATCTTTTAGCATGTGATTGTTTATGACTGGCTCCTTTCCCACTTATCCCAACATCTTCAAGACCTGGTTCTAAAGTAAATGATACTTGGTTGAAGGTCAACATGCAGCATCTTGCACAGAGTAGGGAGGCTCAATAAATTTTTGTGGAAATGAGATAGAATTTTGCATCCTAAATGATTGCCCTGAGTCATGGAGAAAAGACTCCAGTATGTTCATTGCATTTTTTTAAGAAAAGAGAAAAAGCAAACTATAAAGTATTTTGAAAATTTTCCATTCTGCATAGATAAAACCTCAGATTGGTGATTCAGGTGGTCTCAGTTGCTGGGAACCTAGCTTTCCACAGTGGCTTGTTCTCAGGAACCAATGGATATTTTGCTGTCGGTGTGTTTTCCTCCTCTTGTTTTTGGTGTTTGCAGTCCTAGAGATGGAACCCAGAGCCTCACCTAGGCAAAGCAAGTGCTCCACCTCTAAGCCAATCCCCAGTTCTTTTTTGTTAATATTTTATTTATAGTCAGGATCTTGCTGAGTTGCTTAGGGCCTTGCTAGGTTGCTGAGGCTGGCTTTGAACTTGTGATCTTCCTGCCTCAGCCTTCCCAAGCCACTGGAATTACAAGCGTGAACCATCA